TGATTAATGTACATTTTATGACAGCTGGAAATCTGACAAACACCAATCATCTGGATTATCAGGCTTGGGTAATCACGCTCACGTTATTTAATTGCTGGCTCTCTTTGCACTTTTGGCCTATTCTTCATACAGTCTTTTGTGCTGTGCCTCCTTGTTCATGTGGATTCATCATCGCTACCTTATGAAAAATATAACTTGCGCCTTATCTTTATCAGTGACTTATTCCTGGTATTAAAAGATGTTGAACTTTATTTCAGGAATTTTCAACACATCCTAGATGACTGAACTGTGTTACTAAAACAGGGTTTTTTTAGTGCATAATGGGAAGAATTTTATATTATTCAGGCACTTGATGTTGACATACATTCCATCCTAGTGCCTCTCAACAGCTTTGAAAACATTATTTCTTATAGCTCATTCTGAATCAAGTAACTCATTTACTGCACAAGGATTAGTCACTCCCCTTCCCTCCCCCAGCCATTTGTGGGATTGTGGAAGAGAACTGACTCTCAACATCACTATTTTTTCTTATCTAAGATAACCGTCTCCCTCCAAGCTTACGCAACAGAGATTCTCTTTGGCAGATACAGCAGGAAGCATTCTCCTAACTATTTACATCCAACAGCTGACCCTTGTCTATTATGGAAATTTTCCCCTTGCAGTATAGTAGTTCCTAAGAGTCTGGGTCCAGAATCTGTTTACCTGTAATTATTTTCCTATTAAGATAATATGATAGTTCTACACCAAAACGTCTAACTAGCACATCAGTGTTGAGTTCTTTTTTGTTATTTTCTTTTGGTCACATAGAAGTACCGGTTAGACACGCTGCTGTACAAAGAGTTCCAAGTTCTTCCAGCTTTATCATTAACTCTCAGAACCGTGTGTTCCAGCTTAAACTGTAAAATCCAGAAACTGATTAAAATGCTAGAATATAATAAGAACTTAGAACTCTCTGCCACAAGTACCTACAATACAAATAACAATCACAGAGAAGTAACCTTCTTGTCCTTTAGCTGCATGTCTATTTTTCCCTGCACCCTGAGTCAGTCAGCGGTGTCAGAAAAAGTCACACAGTTCCTGACTATCCAAGCATTTGTCTTTTTTTTTTTCCCCTTTAAATAAGGAACAAATATGTACTAAAGTGCTTTATCTACATGAACCACATCAGTACATTATAGAATAAACAAAAAGTTCTAGTCCTGGTGGGAGTGGGGGAGAGAAGATTCTCGTTTTAGATACAAAATTTAGATTGTTTACAATCTAAGTGAAACAAAGATTCAAGAGAATATTCTCTCTTGTCTTTTTTCTCCTTTTTTCATAAAAAATAAAAAATAAAAGTGCAGTCAAATAGAAAATAAATGCAGTAGATGCAAGCTGAGTTGAGGCAGGCTGTTAGTGATAGTGTGCAAACGTGTGTCTTAGCAGTTCATCTGCAAACGGTCGCAGCTTGGCCTCGATAAAAATCCGTTTCAAGAAATCCCGAGCATGGTCGGAGACATGAGGTGGTAGCTGGGGGTTGGTTGGCTGAGTGGCAATTTTAAAGATGGCAGCCATTGCTTCAAACTCTGCCCACGGAGGCTTCTCAGTGAGCATTTCTACCACCGTACAACCTACGCTCCTGAAACAGAGGCAGAAGTGAAACAGCAGGTTACAAACAGAGTCATGCCCTTCTAGGAAAACAAGAAATAGCAAAGAGCTACTACAATACCACAGATAACTAGTGTCCGCTTACCTCTACAGAGCAACTTCACTGGAAAACAGGTGTTTAAAAAAATTGCATGTACAGCTACACGCTTTACCTCAAAGTTACACAAATCACTACCTACATCTTCACTTTATTACTTCACTGTGCCAAAAGCTGCTACCTCAGTGAGGAGACAACTAGGAATTTATCCAGGCAATACCAACTGCGTCATAGCACTGCCGCTATTCAGTGATCAACACTGATCAGACAAGCACTGCACAACCCCTGTGCGCCAGCTCTTCAGACACCCCGCAGGATTTGAGTGCACTGGAAAGCTTTCTTGCTCATTAAGGCCAAACAGAAATGCAAAGCAACAGGGATGCGCTGAAGTAAGAGTATACTGTGTGTTTTGCTAGCTCATTAGAAATCACAACATGAAAGTTGAAAAGTTTAAAACGATACTTCAGTGGTATCCTCCTCTTTTAGTTAAGTATGCTAAAAATAAGTGTATTGGCAAAACAAAACTTTAAGATCCTAAACAATCTTTGTATACAAAGCTTACGTTTAAGGGATTTAGGAAGGCAGAAGGGCATGCGTATGTCCAGAAAAACTTTGCTGCATTAAGTCCTGAAAGATCCACCTCTTTGAATAACAAGCAAGTGATGCTGCAGAACGGATAGGTTGGAAGAATTTACCAATCTTCAGGAAGTTCTATGGTTTTTCAAGATGCTTACAAGAAGTTTTAGGGTTAGACAGAGGTACATTTCTTTACACAATAAGGATTTACTGAATGACAGAAGTCCAACTTCAGTATTTTTTCTTAGTTTTAATCAGGATTTTCTCCATCAAAAAACGTATATTAACCTTGATACAAATACTTCAAAGTTGAACAAGTCAGCTGCCTGAAATCTGTTCTATGAAAGCTGTTCTATTATTCAAATATAGCAGAATAATTACTAAGTGATCTGAAGTAGGCTAACTTAATTTCCCAGCCATTAAAAGTATTGCCATTGGTTGGATATAATGTGGTTCCTTTTTAAACACAGCTGGGTAATCCTAGCTTCATGCAAGGTCAGTTCAAAAGATTCTCTTATGATCCCTCAATCAATGGGCTAACAAATGGCCAAATGAAAAATTCCCTAATTGCAGTGTTACACTCTCCCAATATGACTGTCAGTGCTCACACTTGCCACCTTCTTTGGCTTAAACCCTAGAATGAAACACTCCAACTTCAGATAATGAGCATCTACACCTTGTTGAAAAAGAGCCCATTCTGAACTGACACCTCTCACTAGAGAAGTTTTTTTTTAACATACCAGATATCTGCTTTTCTGCCGTACCCTTCACCACTAATAACTTCTGGACTCATCCAGTACGGAGTTCCTGTGACAGACTTCATTCCTGTACCAGAGAGACAGATAGTCTGCAGTCGTTTGCTGGCACCGAAGTCACCAAGCTTCACATTGCCTGCTGAATCTCGCAGAATATTTGCTCCTGGAAGGAAGGGAAGACAGTGTTATGTTCATGAAAGGCCCTCTAATGTTTTGGTGTGGAAAATGGTAACAAAAGTTTGGATTCAATGCAAGATCAGGCTAGTATTTCAAGCCAGAGAATTTACTTTCTCTACTCACTCCTGTTATTCTAACCCAAGGTTCAGAATAATAGTTAATTGTACACCTTAGTTTGCATCCCAGGCCTTTTCCAGTAAGTGCCAGTCACTTTGTAAAGCCTTCCTGACAAGATAAGGAAGGTAAATAAAAAGAAATGGGAGAGAAGTTTCCACACAACTGAAAATGTCTTGATACTATATTAAAGCAAAAATCTCAAACGATTTTACAGATTTGTTCAAAACCCTTATCTGCATAAGCATGTGCAAATTCACTGTGAAGTCTCAATCTTTTTTGCAACAAAGCACTACTAATACAAAGCAACAGGAAAATTGTAAAGCTTTTAGGAAGTACAACAGTGTTGCCTTCAACACACCTATCTTGCACACCACCACCTTCCTACATATTTGTAACTTGCTTATGCAGCACTTGCAAGTCACCTATATCTATTTGCCAAGAGTAGAGAGGTCTGTTTCCTCAGGTTTCCCGGCAGTAACATGGAAAAAATCCAGTCATTTGATCAGGCCAGTCACCGCTGCCAGTCATTTCTTGTACCAGTGAAGTGCTGGGTAATTTCTATATAACTGATGAAACAAAACTCTCTAAAAATAAACTTTCAAGTCATGCTTTCCTGTGCACAGTCTATCTATTTGTAATGACACCATCCTTTGGATATTCAAAACTATCAAGACTAAAATAAAATCAGAAATAAATTTATCATGATTGTTTTGCGGACAGACACTATGGAAACCTTTTCAGAAGTCTGCTAGAACATCACAAAGATGCTTATTTTTCACCCCTCAGGTTACAACAGTGATAAGAATAAATGATGGAAAGTAATCTCATTGATTTTAAGTCAGTATTCCAGCATTAATTACATTTTAGCACTTCACACAAGACTAGAAAAGAATCTGTAGTAAAGAGCACTGAACTGTGCACAGAACTATTATTACCTTTAATATCTCGATGGACAATCATATTACTGTGCAAATAGTGAACTCCTTCCAAAATCTGCCGTGTATATTTACGAGTCACATTCTCTGTGAGTGCTCCATATGATTTCAACTGGTCTTTGATGGAACCCTGTGGCAAACAAGTAGTATAAAACACTAAGATTTCTAGAATCACAAATGGGCTAATACTACAGTTGAATGTCAATGAAATTTATGCCTGAAATTCAGACATTTGAAGTTGCAACACTGCTCTAGATCAACTTAAAAGCACAGATATAGTGTTACTTCCACTGAGAAAAATACAATTTTGGACAAAAAAGAGGCTGGACAGAGAAGTCATATACTGAAATGTTAAGCTATTAACTTTAATACTGTAAAGCAGCTGAATAGTTGCAGTGTCATGTACAGAAAGAGAGAACAGCGGTGTTTTTACTCAAACACCACTCTCAGCTTTTTTGATGGTTAAATGCTGATACTCAAGTTGGACAAAACATGCAATTTATCCTGGCTAGTTTATACTGGGGGG